GCACCAAAATATCTACATTTCCAATATGGGTTGCCAAGGGTTCTGCTCCACAAACTTACTGAATGTTCCAGTTTTAGTCTGTTGCATCTTGGTTTGGTTTCCATTCTTCCATGGTCTCTTCAGTTTTGCAGGAGGCTGAAAGACTACAAACTATACTTCCCAGTCTCACTGGCCAATTGGCTTCTGGGTATATTCTGGGTCTGAGTTCATGAGATGCTACTCATGAGATCTCTGAAGTCTGGGTGGGACTGAAGACATTTCCTGCTTCTAGTGGCACCTTAGGTTGTGGCTGGCAAGTCAGGGCTCCTAAGTTCTTGCTGTATAATCATATTTCCAACAGCAGCTAATGTGGCTCCCATCATAGCACTTAGAACTGTGTATCTGTAATTATCTGAATAGCTCTCTATAATATCACTCTCTCATTTTGCTTCTCTGAAACTAGGGATACTAATCTATGGTATGCTCATATTCTCTTTAATGATACTGCAGCACTTTTAATATGTTTGCAGCAGTTTTGCTGTACTCAGTATTCTGTTTAATTATCTAAAAATTCTTCTCTTTTCCTGGCTGGAGTTTCCCAGGCAGACAAAGGCTCCATGTGGAATACATTTCCTCCAACACCACTGGAGCAGGAGAACAGAGATGGAGGTGGCACCCTAGCTTCTACCTCCTACGTGCTTTCGCTTAGGAGTAGCCTATGTCAACTGGGCACCATGCCTGTAATGGAAGCACACTGGGAGGCTGAGGCAGGAGCATCTCAAGTTTGAGCTCAGCCTAAAATTAGCAACTTTAACAAGACCCTGTCTCAAAATCAAAAAATTTTAAAAGGGTTGGGATATAGCTCAATGCAAGGACCTTTGGTTTTATCTGTAATACTGGGGGGGGGGATAACTTATGCCACTTCCCTTCACAGCCTATTGGTCAAATTGGTTACTTAATCCCACTTTCAACAGGGAAGACTTGGAAATATAGGCAAACACTTGGAATATTTGATGAGTATTAAGTGTCTCTTATCAGAATGAGCTAATCAAGACAGACCAGGGATTTAGCTCAGTGGTTCCACCACCTGCCTCACAAGCCCAAAGTCCTGAGTTCCCAAGTTTGGTCCCTGGTACCAAAAAAAAATTTAAAAAGACAGACTAGATATGGTATGAGAAAACTGGAATAGTGCAAGAGAATGTGAGGGAGCCAGAAAGTCTCCAAGGAAGCCCAGACTGACAGGACAACCAGCCCAACTGGGGTCCAGAGGCAAGAAGCCCTGGAAGGATGAGTGGAGGGTACAACAAAAAACAGTGGGAGGTGGGTTGAGAAGAAGGGTTTACAGAGCCAAAGAGGATGGACATGGGAAGATTTATTGAGCAAAGAATAACAGAAGGTAACTAAAAAAAAAAGACTTCACTGGGCTCAGCCACAAAGATGTTCACATAGGTATAATTATGGAAACAATTAAGTGTAGATTTAACCAAAACTGCAATAAACTGTGACCATCAGAGTCAGCACTGATTCCACAGGTTAACGGCAGAGTCCCCAGTGTGACTGCCACACACAAGCTCCAGGTTCCCAGGCCACTTGCGACAAACTGGCTACATGTTTTTTTGTTTTGTTTGCTTGCTAGTTTTTTTTTGTTGTTTTTTGGGGGGTTTTTTTTAGACAAGGTCTTGCTATATAGCCCAGGATGACCTCGAATTTGTGGTAATCCACCTGTTTCAGCCTCCTAAATTCTGGGATTATAGTGTGCCACCATACTTGGCCATAGCTACAAATTTGTAAAGTTCCCATGACCTGCTTAGGTTTAATCATTCACTAGAGCACTTCATAGAAATCAAGGAAGCAGTATGTTACTGTTATAGTTTTCCTTTAAAAGATATAAAGCAGGACCATCCATAGTCCATGAGGAGGCCTGTGGGGTGAGACCTGGGAGGAGCCTGAAGGTGTCCCAGTGACACCAAGGATTTAGAAGCTCTGTTGGGAACCAAGGCAACCACGGGTAAAGTCTTTATTACACAACAGCAGGATAAGAGGAAAATGTGTGTGTGTGTGTGTGTGTGTGTGAATGTGCAGTTTAAAGAGTTATCTTTGCCAGGTGTGGTGGTATATGTCTGTAATTCTAGCACTCTGGGAGGCTGAGGCAGGAGGATGACAAATTTGAGCCCAGCATGGGCAACTCAGTGACTTAGCAACACTCTTCCTCAAAATAAAAAATAAGAAAAAGGCTGGGGATGAAACTCAGTGTGAAAGCCCTGGGTTCAATGCCCAGTACCACAATAAATAAATAAATAAAATAATCTTTATCTTCCAATAGATACTCTTCAAAATGTAATCAATTGACAACATTATATACATGTGTTATTTTAAAATATGGCAACATACTGGACGTGGTGGTGCATGCCTGTAATCCCAGCACTTGGTAGACTGAGGCAGGAGGATTGCTGCGAGTTCGAGACAAGCCTGGGCTGCATAGTGAGTTCCAGAGCAGTCTGAACTACATAGTGAGACCCTGTCTCAAAATTCAAAATGTAATCAATTGACAACATTATATACATGTGTTATTTTAAAATATGGCAACATACTGGACGTGGTGGTGCATGCCTGTAATCCCAGCACTTGGTAGACTGAGGCAGGAGGATTGCTGCGAGTTCGAGACAAGCCTGGGCTGCATAGTGAGTTCCAGAGCAGTCTGAACTACATAGTGAGACCCTGTCTCAAAAAACCACAAAAACATGGCAACAAATACAGAAAAATGGAAATAGACTCAGAAGTGAGGTAAGTTCATTGTTGCTAATGGCCATATAGAACCATTGGGACATTCAGCTAGGTATATCTGTTGCCTTGAGAAAAAGTAGAGGTTAAAGGAAAGAAAAAAAAGGGCAGCTGTTGCACCAAGTGCTTGATGCCAGAAGGGAAACAGGGCAGGGAGAAAAGCCTACTGCAAACACCGGTGGGAGTGGGAGAAGAAGGCAGAGCCTGCAGGGGTCACAGCAGGGGTGGGGGCAGGTGGGCAAAAGCAAGGGGTTTTCCTCCTAGGTGTTTTCCACCCAGCAGTCCAGAAGGACCATCCAGGAAGGCCTAGAGGCAGGAGAAGACAAGGAGTTAGCATCTGTTGGGAGACCAGCTCAGAGCCAGGCAGGGCACGTTTTGAAAATGAGGGAGCCCTGAGGCAGTGTAAATGCTGTTGGAAAGAAGCCAGCAGAGGGAGAGGTTAAAGGTTTCAGAGGTAAGGCCGCCTGAGGAGGAGAAGGCAGAGGCAGCTCTGTCCACACAGTCCTCCTAGGGGAGGGGAGGTGCACACTTGCCCCTTGTCCAGGTCTCCCCTGCCCACTCGTTCCTGTACTCCTGGCTGGCAGCTGCTATCTTCACTTCACAGACAGAAGGGAACACCACACCTGGTCAGCTGGCTGCAAGAAGTCCTGTGTACCAGGATTATCCTGTACCCCAAGCCAGGTTTTTGTTGCTACTCTCTGCCCTCTGGAGCAGCTGGTGTCAGGGTGAAGCCTTCAGAATGCTGGCTTTTTGGGTAAGGGAGAGAGCGCCAGCCCCAACCAAACTCCAGTGTCCATGGGGATCAGGAAGAATCCAAATGCGCAGCAGTGGTGGAAGCAGGGAGACAGGGCTGTGAGCCCATGAGGGTCCTGGTCCCCCTCCAGTGGGTATTCCGACTCCACCCCAGGAGGCTCTCTGTCACCAAACCTTTGGGGTTTTCAAGAGAATTTGAGCATCAAGATTTTTGTGTTTACTGTTCAGATGGGAAGACAGTAAGGCAAAGAGGGGACATGGAGATGGTCAGGTCAGCACTCTAAGTGAGGAGGTCCCTGAACCAGCCAGGAAACAGCCTGGCATGTGGGAGAGAGAAAGAAGCCACAGAGGACATGGCCCAAGGAGTAGGAGAGAGGAACCTGGAGGAGGCAGATGGAGGAGGGCCTGACCATTTGACCTTGTGGCCAAAGGAAGGCTGCAGGACACACAGAGACAGGGGCCAGCTCTTCCAGTTGAAGAGGGTGGCTCCGATGGCCCACTGGATCCATCTGGGTCACAGATGCTGCCTTGACTGTCCCCAACTCCCTTCCTGCCTGTCCCCACCAACCCAGCGGTCCAAAGCGTGGAGAGAGGTTTGTTGTCTGTAAAGCCTGCTGGGGCCTCTTCATTAAGGAGCATCATTTAATTAACAGCTAATAAGCGCCAATTTGTACCTCCGCTGGGGTGGGAGAGGTAGCGACCCAGGCCCTCTGCCTGTGTCCTCCAGGGGGTGGCACGGTCCGCCGGGATCCCCCTCTTGCCGCACCCATGCAACCACAGTCGCCTACCGTAGCGCGCGGACACGCGCA